ACAACATATCTAATGAAGAAGCAGACCACATGCAGATGGGAAGATGGAATAGTTGTAATTGGATAACTATTCTACCCTAAAGAAATCTAACATTTAGGACAGCTGTCAGTTTTCAGAAAATGGCTGATATTGGGACACTGAAGGAAGTGAAAGGGACAGATATGAAGTAATGAAAAAATGTGATAAGGCACCAAAAACACAAATCATCTCAAGGCCTGAAAAGTGAGCCAGTATGTTGTGTCGTGAGTGTGATGAGGACAAGGAGGTTTGAACTGAAAGCAAGCTCTTTATTCTGGCTGATCAGGCATAATACAAAATGAAATTAAACTGGAACAAGGAACTAAACAGGAAACACAAGGAAACCACAGAACCTGAGCGACACAGGGGTAGAAGAACAGACACTCTGACAAGGGACAAAAGGGAGACTGACACAATATAAACACATGAGGGAATCAGGCAGAGAAGAAACACCTGGGGAGCACGACTGGACATAATCTGACCAACAAGACAGGGAAACAACACTGAGACGAGACTGACAACACAGCGAGAGGGAGAGCGAGGGGCAAAGAGAGAGAGACACACAGATGGGACCAAGACAACCAGGACACGAAGCACTGACAAATAAAACAAGTAAATAAGAATTAGAAATAAAGCAACAACATAAATCTCAAATACAAAACAATCTCACATCAACCTTCAAATCTCCAAAAATCAGAAAACAGAACAGACCCGGGGGTCCTCACACAGTCATGATATGTACGCTAAAGCAGCGGTCTCCAACTCCCGGGCCTCGGACCGGTACCGGTCCTTGAGTCGTTTGGTACGGGGCCGCGAGAGTTGAGGCTCAGGTGTGAAATGTATGGTTTTCAGGGTTTTTATTGGTTTTCAGCGTTATTTTGTTATCGTTTTTATCGTTAACTCAGTTTTTCTGGGTCTTTTCACGTGTGTTATGAATAAATCTTTTTTTCGGTACCGGTACTAGTTTTATTTTGTTGTATTTATCCGCGACACCTTAAAGGCCGGTCCGTGAAAATATTGTTGGGCATAAACCGGTCCGTGGCGCAAAAAAGGTTGGGGACCGCTGCGCTAAATTATCACGATTAATTCAAAAGTTTAAAGCAGCTGTTACGGTCTGTTGTATTATGGCATAGAATAAACATGTGGTCAGCAAGGCCAGAACTGGTCCACACAAAGTATGCAGCAAGGCCAGCAGTGATTGTGAAAACTGCTGCAACATTAGTACAAGTTTCAGTTTTCAGTAAGATTGAATATTACCAGCGTTACTACACAGGCATGGAAATGTAAGAAAATATAAAAGTATTTCTCAATCTTTATATTTTCTTACATTTTAATTCCACTGAAAAGAAAAAAAATAATAGTTTTGTTTAAGTGCAAAAACAGATCCAGTGTGGCTGAAATTCACATATAATAAAATGTTTTAAATAAATTGTTCTTGTTTTTTTGAAGATATCTCAAGCTGTTGGATGTGTATTTTGTTAATGAATGGTTTATTACAAGTGAACACTTACTTGTGGTTATTTGTATTAAAAAGAAAGGTCATTTATGTTACCATGTCCCAGTAGCCAGCTCCGATTCCTGTGGATTACACTGCCATAAAGAAATACATGTTTAAAATGCCTTTCCTTTAAGGCCTTTCATACTTTGCAACTGGATTTTTTTAATGAAGGTTTTGATACTGTAAGTGCCATTAATCAGCAAAGTCTGTAACCATAATAGTTGCATCATCTCCATAGCAGAGTAGCAGCACTGAGTGCTCTGCTGGATGTAGTTTGACTTCTACTCTCTCGTGCTGCTGATACACTCTCAGGCCTCGAGCAGCAGCTGCATGTTTCTGGAAGACTATGAGATGAGAATATGAGATGTTCAGTTTCAGCTGCCTTTGGGATCACTTTGTTGTAATGATACAGACACACATTAGCCCACAAACTGATTCAGCAACCCCTCCCAGACTTCTCTCTGATGTGAGATACATGCGTGCAGGAGGCACTCCATGCAGGTACAAGTGAAAGGTTAAATAAAGGCTTTCTACTTTTGTAGTAATAAAATGTATCTTTTAGTATATGAACATTGATATGAAAATTTAAACTTAGACAGGAAATGACAGAACAATAAACACATAAAAGGATTTTGTGTTTTTAAAATCATTTTTTGGACTTAAGAAAGATCCAAACAACAACACAGACCACATATTTGAAAAACCAGCACCATGTATTAAATTGGGCACTTTTACGCACTTTATAATAAAACCAGTCATGTAACTATCTTGTTCTTACATGACAGTTACAAAATTTTTTATTTGTCCCTCTTAACAATGTGTTTGGGAAAATATGTGTTTGTGATCAGTATGTGATCCTGAGCATCTGCAGTTTTAGATGACAATTCCTGTGTGACTACAATTTTAGGGGTCGCCACAGCCAATCATGTGCTTGAATTTGACCCCGCCCTTAGAATCCTCCTCTGTTGCACCAACCGTTTGCATGTCATCCTTTACTTTATCCTTATATATGCTCCTACCAGCCGTCTAACCTTGCCTTTCTAACTTTGTCTCCAAACTGCTCGATCACACCTTATTATAAGCAATAAGTGCAATATAATAATCAGTATATTCTTTAATATAGTGATGAGCCTAGTTGACACTGATATTGTGTAGCTGCAACAGATGGACATTAGTTCCACATTACTATCAACTATCAATCTTCAGCAGCTGCTAAAGATCTGGGTCAGCCCGGTTATTTTCCTGCATGAGTCTGTGTTTTGGCCCGAGGTGCCTGACAGCGCTGCTGATAGATGGAACTCTATTGTCATCATTCATAACTCCAACACACTAATTACAACCACAGACTTGTAACGAGTGCTGCCGCCTTTAACCTTGCACTTTATGACAACAAAGATGGGTTTTGTGTGTGTAGGAGTGGAGGAGGAGCATACGCAGCTGAGTAAAGACTGACACCACTGCCACACCTCTAACTGATTGGCTGCCTTGACCTTAGACCTGCTGCCTCCACAGAGATGAGATTAAAAAGCAAAAAATTATTAGATAATAAGCCACAGTGCCTAAAGCTATTCAAGTATTCAAACACCCTTAAAATGTGAACATAAACATTTTTATACTGCAAGATATTGAACACTTAGTTCATAATTAACTCTCCTAAGTTTCACCCATGGGATAAATGTGAAAAGAGTCAATTTTAATAAATCATGAATAAATCATACTATTAGATAAGTTACTTTCATTACATATTTAGTAGAAGTACTTGATTTTCCTGTATATAAAGGAGTATAAGATCAATGTCCTTTCACAGTTTTGAGAATGCTCAAGTCTACCTGCTGGGCTGTGAGAGCACTATGCAACCTGTTACTGGTTTATTTAATCTTTCATAATCGCCAATCAAAAAAAAAAAAAAAATCAATCTCTTAACTGGATGCAAATAGTACAGAAAACTTCACAAAATGCATTTAGGACATTTTTAGCTCAGTGACGCCATCTACTGTGTCTAACTTGCAAATGTGAGACATCAGGGTAGTTGAATAACTGTATTTACATCAGAATCAGAATGATTAATTATAAATTTTAATTAAAACATCATAAGCTCTATAGTACTATACTTGAGGACCTCTGACCTTTGTTTAGGGGTCATTGCACTCTCAACATCTAAATATGCTACATTTTGTGTTTTTGTTACTAAATATCATGATGTTAGTTTAACACCTGTTGAGAGTCAATATTATTGGAAAAAAATTACAGAGTGTAGCCATAATTCAGTGAACTCCCCCCATCTATACTTTATAGTATTAAAGTGTGCCAAGTGATGTACTATAGTATTATTAACTTTTAGCTGTTCAATATGAAGATTTTGCCACCTCCAAAATTTGCTGGGTCCCAGCGGCCCCCCTTGGCAGGACTGTCCTGTGTTGGTAATGATGCCATGAGATTGCAGAAAAGCTGGTGCCAATCCCAGGACAGATCCCTGGTACATCACACACTCTTATATGATCTATTTGTGTTTCCTGAACAAGTTTGCACTTGAAGTTAACTCCATCCTGGGAGAGTCAATCTTAAGCTGCTTCGGCTCAGCTCTGCTGCAACCATCATAGCAATGGTTAGGACAGTTTCAAATAGATTTGAACAGTCGTGTATGTCCCAGACCCCCAGAGCCAGAATCCTGCCAAACGCTACAATTCATATCAGTAAATGTGACAATAACAACACTGGACAGTTTTCACTCTCCCCTGTCTCCAGTAGAGGAGCTGCCAAAATATAACATTAGAAGACCACATCAGAAAATAATATTAAAATACATGCTTACTACTATTATTATATTTATTTTAAGGGTCCTGTGCAGCTCCAAAAAAGGTAAAATTGCATATGGTTTAGAGAACAGTAGAGCTGGATGAATCTCCCAGGAACTGTGCTTTCCTGGGTTCATCTGCAGCAGGTAGTTTTTAACCATGCTGCTTCTGTCCTCATTTAGCATTGGTGGTCACCACAAAGAGACATTCAGTATCAGTGACCTTTTTTTTATATTCATTTGTACTGGCACTTGAGTTGCACTGGTTTCATTGCAGGAAATAATAGATGCTGCAACTCATAAGAAAAAAAAGAAGAGAAGTCAACAGTCAGAGTTTTCTGTGCATGTCTCATACATATATAAGTGCATGTGATATATGTACTATATAACTACAGCATGGTATGATATTACTCAAATTTACAGTTTAAAAAAACACCCAACCTGGAAACAATTTATTTTGTTTATTTTGATTAAACATAAATAGTCACAAATATAAGCTATAACTTTGTCATGAATCCATGAATCCATCTTTCCTGGACAAAGTGTTATACACCTATATTTCCATAAAATCAGTCACTGTAACATTTTTGCATGAAGAGGCCAACAGACCAATGGTATTTCTCAGGAACAAAAACTAAACCCCTTTTAGTCCCCTTCAGTTACTTTTGCAGTTCACGGAGCAGAATCATGATGGAGAAGATCCTGCTTGGTGTCTTGTATGTCTCAGGTCAGTAAATTTTATTTTCAACCTTTAGCAGTGCTTATTGTTATGATGTGTCCACCTCACATGGTCATAATTTTGTCATAGGCTGGCTCATCCTCTGTAAGTGCCATCAGTACCACTTTGTCAGTCAACCTTTGACTTGGCATGAAGCTGCTCGTTACTGCAGTACTCAATACACAGGACTGGCTGTTACTGAAGACATGAATGAAATGAACCAACTTAAAAAGAAAGTTTCATCTGCTGGTTACAAGTCTGCAGTCTGGATTAATCTGCACACCCGTATCCGCTACTATAAAAAATACTACAGAGAGGAGTACTTCATCAAGGAAGACCAGAAAATAGAAATGGCACCTTTCTTTGTTCGTTTTTTCTGTCGAAGCATTTCATTGAATGGAGTAAGGTGGAATAACAATTGCTCAGTGGAACATCCATTCATCTGTTATAATGGTGAGCACGCACAAAAAGAGTCATGTTATTGTCATAAAGTGTTTTTGGTTTTAAATTCCATGTAACTAATCTTGAACCATTTGTCCACAATCCTCTCTGCAGGTACAAACCCCCTGGGTCCTGAATATGTTTTTGTGAATGAAAGCATGGACTTTTTCAGAGCTTTGAAGTATTGCAGAGAGAATTTCACCGAACTAACTCGCACATGGAACAAAGATGTGCAGTCATTGTTGCCCAATGGAACTGAAGCATGGGTTGACACGATTGGATTTGTGCACAATCACTGGAGTACTAGTTTTGGATACTGGGATGATTTTCCGCAGACATTTGATTCAGAATACGAGTTGTGTGGTGTTGCAGATTTGCAGAGATTAGGAAAATGGAGGTTACTTCCCTGTGAAACAAAGCTACCATTTGCTTGCTACAGTAACCTGCAAAGCAATGATGTAGAAAAGGAAGTTACACAAAAAGGTACTTATTTATATTTTCATGATCCTAAATCAATACATCTGCAGACCTTTAGGTCTTTAGATATTTTCTTTTTCATTAGCTCTTTTCTTTCTCAGTAATAAACCTGAAGTTGAAAATAGACGGCGCCTCCCTGAATGTGAAGGACTCAGCTGTGAAAGCAGACCTTTTGAAAAAGGCAAGTCTCAAAAATCCAACCTTAGATTTCCATTTTATGACCTTTGTTTTTTGGGGGGGTTTTAGGTTTAGTAGCTATGATTTTCCATTGTATACAATTTAAAGAAGTGTTACATTATTTGGCGGTTCAGTGTAAACCTGAACATTTCACAAAACAGAATAGTTCTCAGCAATGTGTTCAAATTTTTTTTACAATTTCAGAATTAACTAATTTAACTATATTTTGGTCTTTTAGATCAGACATATTGACTATTTGTTCTCATTCAACATTTTAGTGAATCCGTTTTTATATTTTAAATGTGCCATTCGCTGCCCAGGCAGTGTTAGAAAACAGTTCTCAAGTAAAAGTCCTGCTGTGTACATCGGTGTATATGTGAATACTAGCGTGGACTGTGGACCGTGTCTATTATGTCAAACACAAAACGGTAAGAACACGTTACAGTATGTTCTGAGGTGTATGTATGTCATTCCCATTAGTTTCATTTAAAGAACTGACTAAGTATGTACTACTCAGCTTGAATAGTCAGACTACAAGAAAAACGTCTGAGTGTGATGCAAAAGTTTGCTTCTTAAATAACCCACAACACCATGTGAAGTTCTTCAAATTAAGTTCAGCTTCTTGGTTTTCGTCAAAGCTTGCTGGTTTCAATAAATGAGATCACCTGTTCTTGTGAGTTATTCAAAGGATCAGTTTACACAGGGAAAATATGCAGATAGTTTTTAATAAAATTACATGTTATTCTATTTTTTTTCACATGGGCTTTTGCTCTAATCTACATGCCCTCTGACCTTTGTAGTTCTCAGAGTACTTATTCCTAGAAATGCAGTTTTAAAGTATCTACTGTTTATATCTTCCAGCTGCAGGACAAACTGAATGAGACTGGAGTGAGTGGAGTCACTCTGAAGTGGAGAGAGCAGCCTGATGGAGAAGTCTTCCACAAAGAAGGGAGAAATTCACAGAAGGAAGAAAAAAAAAGAACTGAACTGTGAAATTGAAAACCTATCTTTACATCTGCTTATCTTCAACACATAGTGGTTGTTTAGTGTTTCTGAAATGTATTTCTAAATTGTCATTTAGTACAGCTTTAGTGTTTGCAGTTATTAATGATACTCCCAGACATCTAAAACATGTCATCTCTTAGTGACTTAAGTGGCTTCATTTGCATAATTTCCACTTTTACTAATATTTTACACAAATATTATACTACTATATTATTACAGACGTATAGCTTCCATTTGTGTGTTTTGCATGGACATTCACATATGAGGCAAACATTTAGATTCATGCAAACATTCACTATTTAGCAAGTTCAACCAGTCAATCAAAGAAAACGTGCTTAGCAAAGAACGTGAAGGTTTTTGATGGGAGGCAAAACATAGATACTGGGTTTTCTGTATCCCTCTCAATATTTGATATTTAATATTATTATACAGAAATGAGTTTTAAGTTTTAAGCTTCTTTGACTATTTTTTGTTTCATATGTTAAGCAACCTTTCACATATTGCTTTTTTCTGTCTTTTCTGGTAAAGATATGTTCTATCTATCTGATTTGTAAAAGAATCAAAAGGAATAATTTGTGTATGTTTGTGTTCGGGTAGTCTGATGTTTAGTTTGAATGTGATGGAAAGTCCCCTGCTTATTATGTTTAGTTCCTACTTCCTTTTGCAGTTAACCACCAAGAATAAATATAAAACCTGTACTGTATGTGTGATCTAGATCTCCTTTCAATAGCAAGGCAGCTATTTCCATAGATGAAAATTAAGTTACTTGAATGCTGTGATGCACATAAATGTCAGGAATCTCTTGAAAATGTTTCAAACTGAACAGACACAAAACAGAAACATTTGTTGTTGGTCTAAAAAGTCACAATGTGTTTAGATTCATCATTGCTGGCCAGGATCCACTGATTTATCAGTTTGCAAATAAAAGGCTAGTTATAAACACATTATTTAAACTAGTAAATGACATTCACTTGCTCACCAAAGACATCGACTTCTTTAAACAGTCCCTGAGTACACTGATGGGATGCTCTAATTAGACTGTGTGTATTAGGGCTTGGAAGGTTTGGCAGTTCAGGCTCTGGTGTGGTCGCCATGAGATGTGTCACTCATCATCAGAAACCTCAGTATGAGATGGATAACATTTGATTTTGTTTACTAAAGATTCTTATGCTTGTCTGAAACTATTTAAATATATTAACAGGCTTTGACTTTGGATTACAGACTGTGGTGGTAGGTTGAATAACAAGTTTAATGTGAGAGTGTTGGCCAACAGCCTGTAGATCTGATAGCAATACTCTATGCAGCTTCTTCATGACAGCCATGGTAGGAAAAGAGGTGGGTGAAAACAGATCCAACAACATGGAGCTGAGTGAGCAGAAAATGTATGAGAGGAGTAATAGGGAGAGAAATTAATGGCAGCAGGTGGCGAGTGGAGATTGGAAGGTTTTGAGAAAAGAGGAGAAACAAGCAGAAGAAGGCAAGCCTGGAAGTCTCGGAGAGTGAGGTCGGTAAGGTGCAGTGAGGTGAAGAAGTCTAAGTCTATTCCCTTCATGTGGAGGTGAAGTTTGAAGGTGAAGGTGAAGTAAAGAAAAAGGGATCTGCTAAAACTCACAAAGATAATAAGAGTAAGACATAAAGTATTCTGGGATGTTAGGGGATTGCGACTTGAGGACTGGATGTATCATGAGCTACCTCTGTTGATTTCCCTCCTCTACACTGACAGTATACTGCTTATACTAACTTCATACTAGACAGTGTAACGTTGTTATAGAGGTTGGATTTAGTGAATTAATCTAAGCACCATAAGTTTAAATGCAAATTCATCTACTAGACATCATAGGTTTCATCACAGACAACATGAGACAGCCTATAGAGAGGAGGTAATGGTACTGTACAAGCAGTGCCTGGAAAATAACCTGTCTCTCAACGTCAGCAAAACAGGAGAAAATATAGAAATGATCGTCAACGGTCACATTTCTATTTAAGATTTCTTTATCTATTTATAATAGTGTGTATATATATATTTATATATACTTAGTCTGTTAACATTTTTTACAAAATGTTTAATTTCATAAATATTTTATTTTTTACTATATTTTTTACTGTACTATACTGCTGAGTGATTTGTCTTCTGCTCGTCAAGTACATTTCATTGCAATGTTGACCCTGTGCTAACTTACATATGACAAATAAAACTGAAACTGAAGCTGAACTGAACTTGATGGAACCCACCACTGACCATGAGCACCACAACCAACACAGTGCTTTACTATCAATCCATCACAGTACAACAACCGTAC